CTTTTTTTTTTTTTTTAACTATTACTTTATGACAGGAGTTGAATCAATACTTTTATTAGAATCTTTTTATTTTCCCCATAAGTAAGAGTGTGAGTACTTTTGACATCTCTGCTATATTCACCTTGCTAAAAACGGCTTCCAGATAAACGATAAAACGCCGGAGCCTAGCACGGTCAGCACCACTGCCAGTCCGCTTCTGTCCATGGCGACAAGCGCACCAGGCGAGGAGGACTCTTCAGAGGAGGACGAGGGTTGTGTGTCCATTGGCCGGAACCCCGAAGCCACCGATGCCATCGCCACTGCCATTCGGAAGTTGGGCGTGCAGCTGCTGCAGAATCTCAAGACGACGCAAGAGCAACCCAATGTCATCATATCGCCTTTCAGCATCGCCTTGGCTCTCTCCCAGCTGGCTCTAGGTAGGCTTTTAACACCCTCACATATGGCATTTTTCACACATTTGACACAGAGCGTATTAAAAATTGGGCTGCCACTGATGATTAATAATCGATTAATCTTGTTGATTATTCTGTCGGTTAATCGATGACTTAGATTAAAAAAAAACAACTAATAATTTCCATCCCTTTATTCAATACCATTGGACTTCAAGACACGAATGCATTTTAGAAGTTGGCAACTTGTCAAACAAAGATTGGAAAGTGAGGCCATGCCACCTTAATTTCAGATTAGTCTTGTGTTGCATCTAACTTGAGAGGTCGTGACATGGACAGCACTTACTGTACTTGAAATTCTATGGACTGTTATCGAGTACCTGTATTTGATTTGTGGATGGTTGTTTTTAAAATCTATTTGAATTAATTTTGGTTGAGTTTTTAACTATAAAATACCTATTGTGATGTTTACATTTTTGTTTTATCTTGAACACAACAAATACATTCATTTTCTGAACCGCTTTATACTCGCGCGCGTGCTGGAGCCTATCCCACTTGTCTTCGGGCAGTAGGTGGGGGACACCCTGAACTGGCCGCCAGCCAATCGCAGGGCACACAGACGAAAAAACATCCGCGCTCACACACACCTCGATGGACAATTTAGAGTGTTCCATTAACCTGCCACGCATGTTTTTGGAATGTGGGAAGAAACCGGAGTACCCGGAGAAAACCCACGCAGGCCAGGGGAGAACATGCAAACTCCACACAGGGAGGCCGGAGCGGGGATTGAACCCACGACCTCTGCACTGTGAGGTTGACGCGCTAACCACTGGATCACCAGGCCGCCAACAAAAAAAATACACCCCCTAAAAATTCCAACTCATAGTTAAACTATCTGTCCAGCCATCCATTATCTAAATCTCTGGAGCCTATCCCTGCTGTCTTTGGGCAGTAAGTGGGGTACACCTTGAACTGGTTGCCAGCCACTCGGAAGGCACACGAACAACCATTCACACTCACCATCACACCTGGGGACCTTTTAGAATGTTCGTGTTCATATGTGACCTCGGGTTCAACATTTCATAGCTCCGTCACGTGCTCTTCTTCCCAGGTGCTGTCAACGAGACTGAAGAGCTGCTGATGCAACATCTCCATGGTAACACCATCACGTGCTTCCACCATGCCGTCCATCACATCTTGGGGCAGCTCCGAAACAGTGACTTGAAAATCGCCACCCGTATCTTCCTGCGTCGAGGTCCTAAAAAAAAAAAAAAAAGTGTATTTAATTCATTCTTCATGATTTTAGACTTTAGTGCAAACGTAGGACTTTTGTTTTAGGGTTTACGCCAAAGGACGACTTCCTCCAGGAATCTAAACGCCTGTATGACTCTGAGCCGGCCGTCCTGGAGAGCGTGAAGCAGCTCAACGACTGGGTGGAGAACGCCACCAACGGGAAGATGAAGGACTTCCTGTCTGCGTTGCCGCCCAACATGCTGCTCATGCTCATCAACGCCATCCACTTCAAAGGTTAACCATCATCCCAGCCGAAGAAGTGGCTTTCTTTAACTGTGACGTCCCTCCTGTTTTTGCAACAGGGGAATGGGAGGCACGTTTCGATCCGCGCTTTACCACCACGGGTGCATTCTTCCTGGACGACAAGCACATGGTCAATGTCGACGTCATGGAAAGCTCCAAACATCCTTTGAGTTTTCTTTTTGACAGTGAACTCGAGTCTCAGGTAAGAGAAATGGCCGACCCTGAGCTGGAAATAAAATGGCTGGATTTTGCTGCTTAATTCATATCCCACAAACGCAATATTAATCAGAATACTGCATTTAGACTAGTCGGAACACATAGAGCATATAATACAGAAAATTACCAAGACGTTTTTTGACTTGCCTTCTCCTTTAAGCGTATATTCTGGTCTCATACAGTTATGTTATCCAACTTGAAATTTCACACAAGGCTTTGCAACAACTTCTTAAATTGTTGCTAGAATGGCTTTATTTCAGTATTGGTGCCTGCAATTTAGCAAGTGAGATAGCTATATTTTGTCTCTGTGGTTGTTTGCCTGCCATAAAAACAACACAGCTTTCATCTCAGTCTCATCAGAAATAAAACTGCCTCCAACTCATCGATTTACATTTTTATGACGTTTTGTTCTTCCCGCGCAGGTAGCAAGCTTCCCATTTGTGAAGGGGATGAGCTTTTTAGTAATCATGCCCATGTCCGGCCATGTGAACGTGTCCTCGCTTGCTCCCAAGCTGAATATTACCAGCATTTATGCCCGTCTGCCCAAGCAAAGAGTTGTTCACGTGAAGGTCCCCAAATTTAAGATGGAATATGCTCAGGAGCTGCAGGAGGTCTTCACAAAATTGGGTAAGTGACAAAGGTGGGAAGAAGTCACACATAAGCAAGACATGAAGTCAATCTGAAGTTTTAACCTTCAAGTTTCAAGCAATTCCCAAGTTACTGTGGAAAAAAAAATGTTAGACTGATATACCATCCATCCTACATCCAACCCCTCTCTCTCTCTCTCTCTCTCTCTGTTTTTATTATTTTAAAACAAAGCCCATGACAAAAAATGTGCCACAAATGCTATGAAACACTCCTAAAGAGTATTTAAATCGGGTATTTCTCTCTCATGCATTTCGCTAATCGCAAAGCTCAAGCGGGATTACTCTCTTAGTCTTCATTTGTGTCTGCATGACTGATACTGTCTCCTAGTGGCCAAAGCAGAAATACCAGAAGGAACAGCACAATGCAATAATTTGCAGCATTATACAATGCGAATGAAGGACTAACTCTCTGTATTGCTTCTATTTCATTATGTTATCACTCAAGTTTTATAAACTGCTATGTTATAGAGTGCTATTTTCCTGATTAAAAAACACAACGACAAAAATTTGTTTTTTGGGCGGCATTGCCATTGATTGCAATGAGGAGAGATGATTTGAGCCTAGTAATGTTTTCAACTCGCATCTCAGACCTCCACTGCAAATAACTTCTTTCAGAAACAAAGCTGGCAACCTGTGTTGATAATACTGAATTGCAATTATAAATAGGCAATTGTTTCAACTCCAATTCAAGTCCTGAAAGTGGCAACTAAACACTTGACACGAGTCCCTCACTGATCTTGTCCCCCACGCTAGGCCTGGGAGACATGTTTTCCAGCCCCAATCTGGCCGACATAGCCGACGGCCCACTGCTGGTGTCCAGCATCCTACACAAAGCCGCCATGGAGATCAACGAGGAGGGAGCGGAGGCCTCCGCCGCCACCACTGTTGTCATCTCACGCTCATCCAACCCGGTGTTCTACCTAAGCCACCCCTTCCTCTTTGCCCTTGTGGACGATAAGACGCATGTGCCGGTCTTCATGGGCGTCATCAACAACCCCAATCCCGGTGCGCCGGTTTTACCGAGAGGAGAATCCAAAAGCATGGAAAAAGATGTGCTGCAAAATGATAAGAATGAAATGGCAGCATTTGGAGGCCCTCCCAAGTAGCAACTATCACATGCACAGTGGCCATTTGTTAAACAAAACAAAAACACGTCGAAGAGCATTGTGATTGTACAATACGAGAATGCTCAATTAAAATGATGGGAAAACGTCATTCCGTGTTTCATTCGTTGAGGTTTCCACCATTATATGTGAACATAATATTCCAGTAGAAAATGTTGGTGTAGATGCAAAATCATGATGATGTATTTTTTAATTACAGTACCAAAAAAACCCCCTGTATCCCTCCGTTTTGAGTTTATTACATATGTCTGGCCAAGTTGATATATTCAGCCATTCTGTATAATTTTACATAATAAAATACAGTGAATAAATACATGTGGTTGATTTGAAATAATCTGTCGTTTTTAAAGTTGCCATGTTGTGTTAAGTAATTCACTGTGCTGTGAAAGATCAACGTGTGTGCTCTGCGAAATTCTATACCAGTGGTCCGAATATAGGAGAAGGGTCCAGCTGCAGACCTGGAGGAGGCCGATTCAGGGAAAGGTAGGTTTAGGCAAGTAACGTTGCGCCGGATATGACGTCAGAGGAATGATGCCCGAGTCCGAAGTAAGTCGCATGAGGATCTTAAAAAGTTTAAAAGGCCCTGTAATTGTAAGATAATTTAACAGCAAAACCTAACCCTAACCTAATTTTAGTTGTATTGCAAAGTAGGTCATCAAATAAGTAAAAGTAATTCTATCTCAAATTAGTTTGATAAAAAAAATAATAATAATCTTAACTTAATTTTTAAAGAAAGATTATTATTCAAATAAAATAATTTATATTCCCCATTACAATTAATGAACATTTCACTTTCGTTTTCCGGGACTTGAAAATCAAATTTGCCGAAACTTACCACAGCCACTTTGGGACTTTATTTTGAAAATCAAATTTCCCTAAATTTACCACAGCCACTTCCGTCGTTTGTCTACCCTTGCCTGAAGCTACCTGCTCAGAGTCTGCAGCTGGATACTATTGGAATATAGCGGTGTTTCTGAAGTTTCCAATTTTTCTGAACGTCATCGAATGCATCGTGACGCAAGGTGCAATGGTCTTGCGTTTTCTTTCGGCACTGTCACTTAGCTGACCTGCGGTCGGTTTCGATATTGGTGACGCATCCGTTACACATGATCCATTGCCGATGTGAATTGCACCGGGATCAGTTAAATAAAGCGGAAGCGGGAAGTAAACGCTGCTTGGCGGGACAGTCGAAGCGTTGGCGCCATTGGGGACGATTTACTTTGCGTTCGAAGTGTGAAGCAGTACGGCTCAAGTCCGGACTCCAGAGTGTATCTCATTCTTAAAAAAATATTAGCAAAGTCAAAATAACTGCTTCTTCGCAGATATGATGCAGTTGACGGACGGAGCGATAGAGGTATGCCTACTATATTTGTTTTTGTTCTTGTCCTTCGTGGTGTCTCAGCCCGGAACGTAACGTTAAAGCGAAGCTAGCTTAAAATTGACAAATGTTAGTGAAGTGTTTTTTTCAACCTGTAAATGTTCTAAATGTTTTTTTTTTGTCGTTGTCGTCGTCAGTCGGGTGAAAAACATTACCCGCTGATATTTGTTAAGTATAAACGTATTGTGTATAATCGGACACTTATTGACTGTATAACGTTGTTTTTTAGGCCTTGTCCAGCGGAAGCGGTGTAAACGACGCCATCCTTCAACTGGTGGTGAGTGTGTCTGTTTAACGCAATATTTGATGTCATATTTGACTAAAGTTTGTTGAGCTTCGGCACATAAAATTCTCACGAACCACCGACGAACGGAAAGTGGTACTAAAAGTACAGTATATACAGTATACAAGGTTGAGTATGTGTCTACTTACTTAGTATGAAATCTGCACTTTACACAAAGCAATGAATGGAAACGGGTGGATACCCAGGTTGATTATAAACTTGCCATTTAGTGGATGAGCATTTCATTGTTAAGGTTGTCGCTGGCATAGATAAGTGAACAGTGATATGCTATTCATAATAAATACTTTTAAGACAAATTAAGTGAAATTGGGAACAACTGGTTTAACATAACATTTAACATTACCTGCCGATCCACAAAAAACATTGAACCCATTAATCCAAAGCCAAGGCCTTTCAATTTGCATTAAAATGTCTTATATCAGTCTTTCACAACCCTTAAAAAATTGACATCAGTAAGAATAAGCATAATGTTATGATTGTAAATAGTTTCAAATCTCTAAATAAATTAAGATTGTTCAAAATTATTTACTGAATGACTCTTGTGGTAAAATGACAAAATCAAAACATCCAAACCAACAAATAGTGATGTGGTTTTTGTCTGAATTCTTGCAGCAATCCCAAATCAGCAAGCACGTTGATAACGTGTTAAAAATATAATTGCTTTTATTAAGGGTTCGGGTTGTTTGAATTCGGGACAGTTTTGTTTTAGTGCTTTAAAATATCACTTCCTTTCCAAATCAAAGTGATATAAATGAATTATTTCATTCTTCTGCTGTGGTAAGATATGATTGAGCGTGTTTATTACATCCATTCTTCCGTGGGTATCTATATGTGCCCTGCGATTGGCTGGCAACCAGTCCAAGATGTACCTATTGACTCCGACTCACCTGCAACATTCAGGACAAGAACCATGGAAAATGTATCGATTGAATGTAGAAATTTGTAGTTAATGACTTCCCCTTAATAAATGCATTAACCCTGATAGATACCTGCAATTATTTTATTCCAGAGCATCCGCAAGATTGAGGGTGGAAACGGTCCAGCTCGTTATCGTGTGATGATGAGCGATGGACGACACACCATGTCCTGTAAGTACAATGTACTTTTTTTCATCCTCTTACTCATCATTTAATATTAGTATCTTGTTTCCCTGGACTCTGTCATTTGCATTGTCAGGCAAAATGTGGCATTGTTACAAAAAGTGTTTTTCCTCTTCCTTACCCAGCATTCATGCTTTGCACACAACTCAATTTCATGGCCGAAGACAACCTGCTGGCCCCCAACTGCATTGTTCGTATCAAGAGACACGTGACAAATACTCTCAAGGATGGACGGTAACGCATCTCTCGTCTTATCTCTCTTAACTGGGACTGTTTGGACATGTTGTGGATACTTTGTCAGGGAGGTTAGCCTTAGTTTTACAAATTATTGGGAATTGGTTCAAGTACAACATTTTGCATTTGACATGCTTAATACCGGTAATCAATATTTGTTCATATTAATCTATATTTTTAATTATGTTTTGTTTTAATTGAACGTGAAACTATCTCTAATCTCTTCTTGGCCCTTTAGTGTCATAGCTTCTTCTTCATCTCTCTAATCTGCGATGCGGAGGGGGATTGTGAATCCCCATGAAAAGTTTCCAACCGTGAGGACTCCCAGAATTAGGGATAATAAGAAATTGTGCAATGTTTCCTTTTGAATTTCTTCAGTAATTTGGAAGATAATTTTGTGTGTTTGATCTTCATGTCAGACGTGTGGTAATCATTTTGGAGATCGAGGTCCTCAAGCCCGCGGCAGATGTCAACGGCCGAATTGGCAACCCAACTCCTTATAGCGATGGTAACGCTTCATGCAACTCAAAGCATTTTGATGTGAAATCATTTCTGCATCTAAACGAAGTGTCTCAAATGGGTGTGCGTGCAGGACAGGCTAAAGCCCCTCAGCAGGCCGCGCCGCCAGCTGCCCCTGTCAGCCGTCCTCCTCTTCAGGCTCAAATTGGAAATGATCGTGAGTCTTGCTTGCGTGAAAGACTTAAAAGTTGTTACATTTTTAAAGGTTTTGAATTGTGCTTTACATTGCCACGAACTATACTCTCACTGTATGTGACACCGTTATACAGACGTTTTGATTCATTTAATTTCACTCATGAGAAAAAAAATTCCGACATCTAAGGGGGAGCTGTGCGGAACACACGGACCCATTTTTTTCCTTTTTGAAGGTGACTGAATGAATGAATGAGTGAGTAAGCGGCTGAGATCAAACGTGTATTATACAACCCCAAATTCTAAGTTTGGATGTTCGTAAATGTAAATAAAACGCAAAACAATGATTTGCTAATCTTTTCAACCGATTTGCAATTGAAGACTCTATAAAGACAAGATATTTAAGTTTCAGACTAGCTTTTTATTTTCCAAAAATATTTGGAATTTGTTGCCTGTGATTCATTCCCAAAAAGCCAGATGCATGTTTACCACTTATACATCACCTTCCCTTCTTTCACATTGAAATAGCGTTTGGAAACCGAGGATTATTAATTGGTGAAGCTTGGATTTTTTTTTTTTTTGCCCCACCATTCTGGCTTCATGCATAACTCTGGTTTTGCGTTTCATAATGTGCCTCATATTTTCAATGGGACACAGGTCTGGACTGCTGGCAGACCAGTCTAATCTTCGCATTCTTTAACTACAAAGCCATAGTGTTACATCTAAAGCACAGGTGTCAAAATCAAGGCCCGGGGGCCAGATCTGGCCCGCCACATCATTTTATGCAGCCCATGAAAGGAAATCAAATTTCATGATGCTTGCTAAAATCTGTACCACAATTTCAAATTCTCATTTGTAATAACCAAGTGATACTATAAACATTTTCTTGTTACCAAACTCCTCATTACAGTAACTTAAATAATAGGTGAATAAACTGTTATTCTTGACTTCTTTATGTGGTTTCAGATATAACGGCCCTCCAAGGGAAACTGTAACTAAAATCAGGCCCGCAACAAAAATGAGTTTGACATCCCCAATCTAAAGAATGTGGCTGGGCATTCATTGTATTGCTGAATAATCAGGGACATCCCTGAAAAAAACATTGCTTGGATGGCTGCATATTTGTTCCAAAACTGGAATGTTCCTTTCAGCATTATTGGTTCCTCAACCGATATGCAACCTCACCCCATCCTTGCTTGGGAACAACTGAGCCTTTCAGAGATACTCCTTCTACATATTCAGTCATGACACTCCCTGGTTGCAATTTATCTGTTAACATGTGGAATGTCTTCCGAACTTTTTTTTTTTTAATTCCTCAATTTTTTTGTCTTTTGTTGCCCCTGTCAGAACTTTTTTGGCACGTGTTAACAGGCTCCAAATTCAAAAGGAGAGAATATTTACATAAAACAATGACATTCATAAATTAGAGCATTAAATCTTGTCTTTGTTGTGTGTTCAAGTGACTATACTGTCTCCTGAAAAGGATTTGGAAATCATTGTTGTGGTTTTGGTTTTACACAACATCCCAACTTCATTGGAATTGTGGATTGTAGTTCCGAAGTGGTTTTAAAAACTAAGTCAAAAATTACCCACAAGGCTTTGTACTTGAACCAGCAGATGGGAGTATTTCATCACTTTTCTAAATACTCGGTGCTAGGCAGGACATTTTATCAACCGCTTTGGCAAAGATTTCTCCATTTTTGAGCCTCAGAAATAGATGGTCACAAACCCTCCCACTTAAATGTTGAAACTGTGAGTGTCTTTGTGAGGGAATGCTCCCTTACGACGCTAACTATCACAGTGCTGGATGGCACCTCAACACAGAACCTGCACCGGGAGTGATCCAACTTTGAGGGTGTTCCCACTCCCTCTCTCGCTCTCTTCTTGGCTCTCTCGTGTCATTGCGTCTTCTTCATCCCTCTAATCTGCTATGCAGAGGGGGATTGAGTTTTGGGGCGGGCATCCTCCTCATCAGCACGGTCATTGTTGGTGTCTCGAGCCGTGGGCTTAATTACCTTAAATCCAGCCACTGGCCAAGTGGGAGGACTCAAACGGACACTTTGAACTCTAATCCTATGCGTGAGCTGCAGACACACACACAAATCTAATCGTCAAAGGGGGGAAACCTCACGTGTTTGTACCGCTCTTTCACACTCCCTGGGTGGAGGTAACAGTGTTTCACAGTCGCCTCTATTCTGTGAATCATCTCTCTCAATGCCAGGCTGCCATCTCGCACGCCTTTCTTTTTTTTTATGTGCTGCCTCCTTCTGCTGCACTTCAGATGCCAGCTGTACATTTACATGATCACCGATGACATTTTTGGCCCACTCATAAACACACATAACAGTGCTGGTCACCATCGCAGTGCTGTAATGCGGTGAAAATAGCTTCCCTGAAGTGAAAATGCCAAGTGCTGTATTTCCTCTGATACAGGGACTGCCAAAATTGTTGTACCACAAAAAAAAAAAAAGTAGTTGCACTGCCCTCACAACCACTAGGGCCGAACATTTAATTCAAATCAAATTGACATCGCACAAGTAGAAAGCAACTTGCAAATGCAGTGGGTGCAATTTTTGAAAAGATAAAACTTAGTTCAGGTTGGTTGGTAGGCGTTATATCAATCTGTCTATCTATCTCTGTCTGGCTATCTATTGTGTCTACTGAAGTTCAGTGCTTAAGAAGAGCAACCACATGTTTATATATCATAATTTCATGTAACACAATGAACTGAAGTGAGGAAAAACACAGATTGGTTTGGATTATTGTTGAAATCTGACACGATTTAGTGATTTGACGCCTCAATTGTTTGGAATTTTGAGTTGGCGTAAATGGTTAAGACTGCAGGTCAAAATGTTTAGCAGATTAACAACTCTAATTTGAAGTAGATAAACTTTCACATTAGGTCATGGTTCATTTGCTTTTATTTTAGTGTAAACCTAGCCAATAAGACCAAAACATGAATGTATAGTAAGACTGATATTGTTTATTGTAATTCAGATTCATTCAATGCTGGTATTTGTTTGACAACGCATGCAAAAACGACCTTGAAAAAGTAATTAAATTGCTTTATTAGATTATTTTTCAAAATCGTTCACAACTACCTGGGGCATTCAGCAGCTTGAAGCTTTTTATGCACTCTCCTGTACATTATATTAGCGTATTTACAATGACTACCCCTTACATTTGAGCAACAGGAAGCCGCCTTTCTTGAAGCTAAACTGAACACGAACTGTGAAACAAAGCCGCTGTAGCGCTCCTACTACTTACTGTGTGACTGTGCCAAAATGACTGCTGCGAAAAAGGTCATTGCAGCACCGGGTGAGTACATCTCACTCCGCTCTTCTTCACACGCCATTTAGCGCCCTCCTCCGCCTCCCTCCCCCCTCCAGTGAACAGAGCGGTCGGTAAAGATTTTGGGAAGAAGCCGGCCGCGCCCATGACGCCAGGGGGGCCCTCCAAAGTTCAGCCCATTGCCAGCCTCAACCCATACCTATCAAAGTACGTGCTTACCAAACCACTCTCACATGCAATGTTTGTATGAGCTAACTCCAGAATGTCGGGCGTTATCCATAATATCTGAGTGAGTAATGCATGAAAATATCAAATAGCGTTGTGTGTCACAATGTGCAGTCAGATATTTACAGCAACATATCGTAAATAGAGGTGTCTGCCCTCAGATGGACCATCTGCGTCCGCATCACCAACAAGAGCAGCATCCGCACGTGGAGCAACTCCCGTGGCGATGGCAAACTTTTCTCCATGGAGGTCGTGGACGAGAGCGTAAGTGTTATTCGTGCATATTTTTCTGTGGAAATGTACTACGCCTTGTTGTTCAACTTTCTTGTGGTTCCAGGGAGAGATCAGGGTGACCAGCTTCAACCAAGAAGTAGACAAGTTTTTTGGGCTCATCGAGGTTGGCAAGGTGGGGCTTTTTCAAAACTTGATGATAACTTCTTATACTGTAATTTATGGACTACAAGTAGTAGTAGTACGCTGCTTGTCCTTAATGCCTTATACTTCCATCCGTACGCTGTGGTCAGGTCTACTACATCTCCAAAGGCAACCTAAAGGTGGCCAACAAGCGGTTCACCTCAGTGAAGAACGACTACGAGGTCACCCTGAATGGCGAGACCTCCATCATTCCGTGCGAGGACAACTGCGATGTCCCCATGGTGCAGTGCGACTTCATCACCATCGGCGACCTGGAGAAGAAGGAGAAGGATTCCCTTGTGGGTAAGGAGATGTCTACTGAATCAAAACCACTTATCTCTTTCTTGCTGGCTTGTTCTCAGTTCACTGACCATGTCCTCCACAGACGTGATTGGCGTGTGCAAGAGTGTGGGTGAGGTGACCCGCCTCACCACGAAGACCAACCGGGAAGTGTCCAAACTGACGATTAATCTGATGGACGCATCTGGCAAGATGGTGATGCTCACGTTGTGGGGAGAAGAAGTAAGTAAAGATGATTCGTTCGTCCAGTTGCTAAAAACACACACCCTCCAAAATTACAGGTGATATGTTAGGTTGGGGCAAACCATAACCAAAGTTATGGTTTGCTTAAAAAAAAAAACAACCTAGCATATGTTACGAATTAAATATGGCACACATTCAACTACTGGCAACAGAAACACATATGACAAAGATTAACGTCCTTATAACGTCATTCATTAAATGTATTGTGCCACCCAACGTACTGTGGGAACTGAATGGTTAGATCTTAGGACACACCTGTGCAAAAATAAATGGAAAAAAAATCAAGGATGGAAATGATAGCACAACTTTTGGCCTCAGGAAAGGCGTTTGAGAATTCAGCAAGCTATGGCTTATTTCTTTATGCACATGCATTGGCTTTGCTTTCTGTGGGAACGGGCGTTACCGCCGGCAGACGACTCGCATTAGCATTTGCATCTTGCTTCGTTGTGCGCATCTCAAAACTTAGTTGGCCGCAAAGAGTTTCAGAATGGGCGGTTGGTTGTCTGGACTTGGCGAAATTCGAGTTTGTTCGTTGCAGTCATCTCAATAGTCAGGCATATCTCTTTATTTATTCACGTATTTGCGGTGTAGTAGAGCACCATGATACGACTTCACCTTATTTCGTCTTCATGGTCATGTGGGTGCCATCTAGTGTTCAGATAGAGAAACTACAGTTGACTATCTCAATGTTGCTGGAAGCACCCTTATTTTCCTTCTCCAACTTTTTATTGTACTTCATGAAATTAATGATTTAAATCAAGTGTGCCCAACCAGTCGGTCGCGATTGACCGGTAGCCCGCCAACTGGTCCCAAGTCGATCGCGGTGGGTCTAGGAGAAAATAGAAAAAAAAAACATGTATGTCTTTGTCTATGTTATTAATATTCTATTTTTGTGTGTTGGTGCACACTGCACCCTAAGCATCTTCTCAGTTTCACTTTCACAAAAAAAGTATTTCAGAAATAAAATAATATAACAAAGCAGGTCACCTTGAACCTACAGCGGTGTGTGACCTGCATCACCGGAAGTTGTTAGCGGTCAGCAGTCTGCGATTGCAGCTTGCGATCACAGCTGTTGCCTTATATCTTTTTTATTTTTATTATTCTCATTCAGTTTGTTTCATGTACAGTTCAGCGATGGCACTGGCAAAGAACATTTTAGACAGGCTCAACGTGATTGGCTTAAAATCTTGACCAATTACAAAGTTTTTTTGGAGGGGGATAAATGTACCGCTTATTGGCATTTTATTCTGCCAAATATCAGAACCTGCATTGACCTATTGGTTGAGCCCCAATTTGTATACAGACAATTAAAAATACCCCTTTTTAATTCCAGATTGCGTTTATTAGGACATGTCAATGACACAACCTTATCTTAATAGTAATCCTAGCTTTCATTTTCATTCAACACTCATCTGTTGTCATTTATTTTACAACCTCATATCCCTAAACAAGCTTGCTGCTTATCCGCCCACTATGGCCTTATGTTCTGTTCTTTTCTTCATTCGGTTTCAGAACTCCACTTTCTAAATGTCGTGGTATTGATCGATGTATATTGTTGCTCCAGATGTTGACTCTTTACCTGCATCTCGCTGGGACTGTGCTCAGGTTGCCCATTTTTATTTGTTCACGAAGGGGGAGAAAAAAAAACAGCCTCTCCTGTTTGTTTATCCGCTCTTTGCTGCAGGGACCTGCTGGAGCCACACAAGTTGGTTTCTGCCAAACAAAAAGTGCGAAGGATTTTTTTCCCCCTATGCTTTGTCTGTGCGAGTATTCACTTCTTAAGTGCTTTGTGTATCACTAAAATCCAAGTAAAATGTCTCTCTCTTAGGCTGGGTGGCTCAGGTATCCAGCCTATTGTGCCGATTGTGATTGGTTTTCTTTCTCTCAAGCGACACAAAAGGAATATGACTCATGGCAACGACCTTAGATTGGAGTCGGGCCTCTTCCAAGTGTCGATAAAAATCCGATGGAATTCCGAATAGTTGTTCTTTCCATATTATTGTTCACTGTGGCGTTCTCACATAATTTCAGTATATATTTTTGCTTGGTTGTGTGCCGTGAGATTTTTCAAAAATAAAATATACAGTATGCCTTGGCTCCGTAAATGTTTGAAAACACTTGTCTACACAAAAGAAGTAATTGAGCCAAAATAAAAAAAGAGAGGCTCCATTTTTTTTCCCTCTCCCCTAATACCCCCTCAACCTTTGTTGTGCAGGCGGAGCAGTTCAATGGCACCTCTCAGCCCATCGTGGCCATTAAGGGCGCCAAGCTGTCCGACTTCGGCGGGGTCTCACTCTCGACGTCCTTCACCAGCACCCTGATGACCAACCCGGACATCCCTGAGGCATACAAGTTGCGCGGCTGGTAAGCCCACAACAATCTCATCGATAATACACTTCGGGAAACCGCTTACCCTGTTCCGTCCTGTATACATGTGACATGGTGCTGTGAACAGGAAGTAGGAGACAATTTATACAATGTACATCCCAGGGCTTTTCCTGCCCTCTCTTTATTCCACCTCAATTCATTCCTCCTTGTTATGGTTGGAAGAACCGGAAGGAATGTCGCCTTTTCAATTTCCAAGTAAATATGAAGCATGTTGTTATTGTGACGATCAAGAATTTCCCTACATTGTCCGCATTGTGCTGTGGTTGGGTTTGGGGGCTGGGGGGGATTGCTGCAGCAGCGAAACGTTGCATGGGAATGGGAGTCATTCTTTCTCCGAGGAAGTGCATATGTTGGATTCCTCATCACCTCTGTATCTGCAGGTCGCATGAAATCTATGCTAATGTCCTTGTAACAAGAATGGTGTGTCACATTTTGCGTCATACGTGACGTCTCCCCAGCGCTGATGTGTCCATTTTCAGACGTGCATTTGCTTTTGCATCCAAAGGGTTTGTTTACACCAGCGACCGCATTCATGCACTGACGGAGAGCCGCTTGGAGATGGATCAAATAGTTCTGCCTTTGCAACGATGATACTGCTCGTTTGACTGAGACCGTCACACGATATGCGTTCAACTTGTTTACCGTCGTTAGTTTAGAGTGCTGTCCAAATCTACTGCATCACTAGGCTATGCGAACACAGTAATGTTTTATTACACGGGGTAATCAATTGTCCATTACAAACATTCAAGCTGTTTCTTATTCTCTATCACAAATGTAAAAACTGGAACCAAAGGGCGAAAGGGCTTACATTTTGAGCCCATTACTCCTTTTTTCCTTCTGTACTAGAAGTGTTTTCCACTTGATCGCAAGGAGCTATCTGCTCGATCACCATGAGTTGTGACTCTGCTTTGCAGCTAAGTGGGAGGCAAATTAAGAGCACTTAAATGGGACATCTTGACTGGCTCTAATTATTTGATGACGGTTTTTGCGCTTGCCCGCGAGGTCTCTCTGAATTGTAGATGATACTTCATGTCGTGGAAGACAGTCATTTGTCTGTACTCAAGAATCCATGGGTTACCTGATTAATTCATTATTGGGATTTTATTCTGCCCAATAACCATATTGGCCAAAAATAAAAATCCTTATTGGTTAGGCGCTCGTTTGTATTTAGGAGTTTAGTTTGATAGATGTTTTATTGCCGACAGAGTGTGATCGTAGGACAGCAGCGTATGCAAGTCGCAACAGGCCATTTTCTTATCACTAAGATGTCACAAGCCGGAAGCAGTCATTTGGAACAGCTGTGACTACGGCGCTAACTGAGCATACAGAAAGGCTACGTAACTTTACGGCAGTGTGCAAAAAAGTTCATTACACGCTGTCCAACCGTAACCTTGAAACAGGCTATAGTGGGACGCTAGTGAACCCACAACTCCTATTCAGCATGTGCGTGTGCATGCGCACGCGTCACTTTTCTTCAGCACAGGTTTGCTCCTCTGGTTCTCTAATTTACCCTCACAACAGCATCACTAAAACCAAAACATGTTAATTCTCTTGATGCTCAGTCAGCTGAAATCGAGCCCAAATCCGAATGGCACCACTTCCAAGGTTTCTTTTTTTTAAGCAGTTCCGCACCATATTACGGATAACGACAGAGAAGTGATTCCAAACCTTTTGTTTGTTGTGTAAGGATAATGTTCAGCATTCACTGCACCATGTCATGTTCCCCTTTTGCCTTTGCGTTCATTTGCGGTTTCCACAGTGTTGCTTGCGCATGGCATTCGGGCCGATTGTGTGCCTGCCCACAAGCCAAATCAGGTCTGATTGTTCTAAACCGAAGGAAACGTGGCTTTAGCGAGAAAAGGATTCCAAAAGGCTCTTCAGTGTAAGGCTGCCTTACATTCATACCCTTGTAATGCGCACCGTCTCATTGTGCCCGTTTCTTTCAGACATTACAAGGCCACCGCGCTTTGTTGCTGTTCTAATAATCCTTTGGCTCGGCTCGGCCGCCACACATATCCAGTGTCCCTTCTTTGATTGTTCCGTGATGGAAAACTGAATCAGGGAGCAAGTCAATGAGGCTCCCAATGACTCTTGTGATGATTCATTTCAGTCAGCCCTCGGGAGATGCTCAACTCTTTCAGGGTGTTCCTTTCAGCCATTGTTCGTTTCGCGCCGAGGCGTGACACGCGCGCGCCTTTGGGGACTTTTGTCTGAGGATTGTGTTTGCTCTATTGGTTATTGGCTGAAACGTCAAGGTATTAGCGGTGGCGCTTAGCGGGCACCTAAGTTACCTCTGCCAGGGCGGTTGTTTTCTTGTTTGTTTTATGAGCAGGATTACTCCAAAAATCCAGTGTCGATATCATTTAGGCCACAGAAAAGGCCATGAAAGGTTTGATGGACCACATAGAATTGCAAATTAAGAAACGTATTTCCCATGAAACATTCATCACAACCAACCATACACACACATGCATAGAAAAGAGAGGAGGTGATTTCGAAACAGCTGATGTCAAGAAGCAAAATGCACATATCTGCCTCAGAGAGTTCATTGCTTTCTCTATTCTCACTTTGGCCTCAAGTGGTGTTTGGCTGCCGACACACTGACATGAAGACAGCGCCACTTATCCTGAACGAGAGGAGAATATCTCCACTACCATGCGTGTTTGCTTGCAGCAATTGCTTTCAACACAATGGGCAGTTAAAGTTGGCCTTTTTTAAGCTTTGCCCCCCTTTGATGGCACAGCAGTCCAGCCCTCCATTCGTAGGTTGTAAATTCATGAGTCGACTTTGTTGCCGTCCCTACGGAGCAGCCACGAGTAGGTGAGCACCTGAGGAGTGACGATCCAAATTAAGATTGCTCGACCTTAGTGGAGGTCTGCGTTGTCTCATTTTCAATTTCATCTTGAAAGTAACTTCTCAATCTTTTGCTGTTGATATTCAGGTACAGCGATTTAGTCTTTGGTGGAAAATCCCTCAGTTGGACTATTAATGCTTGTCCAACTGCTCCAAATGGTTTCCAAACATCAAGGCGCCAAAACGTCAACCGTCTATTCTGGCTCTGATGCTCCCTCCCTCCCTCAGCAGAGTAGTTCTTGATTACATTGATACAGAAAAGAGTTGCTATTGTCAACCGTGTTCCTTGTGATATTTCACACATGCGTTGGTATTTTGTGCCAGTAGGTGGCAACAGCACATCTAGAAAACAAATTCAACCCTGACAGCCCCAAACATAGACCAGTACAGCCCTGCTTTGGGGTGAGTACGTCCATATACGGTTGGCGTCTTAAGTTTCTGTGTTGTCACCCAAGGCCAGGCCGATGTTTGTTGTCCGCCTTGCCGTCACTGATGTCCTTCACTCATCCGCCATGATGGGGAAAGAAGCAAACAAAGGCGCCTACACCGTAGCCTGGTGACCCTCACGCTTCCTTAGCATTCTGCTGTTATTTTAGCCCAATATCATCATGTTTTTTTTTGTTTTTTTTTTTTTAGAGCAGCACAGACTGAATGTGGGATTTTACTCTGTACAAGAGAGAATTCTTCCAAATTCAAGTGCGGTGGCAGCCCATGGTGCGTGTGCGTGCGTGTACTCATGCACGCAGTTGACTGCGTGTCAGGGACAGGATGGGCACGTTATGGTGCGGGTTTACTCTGCATGTTAAGTACCAAGCACTTTTTTTTTTAATCCCCGCCCCCTAAAAATCACTGTCGTCACTGACATACACAAATTGGATGGCCATATCAAACCAGAACAGCATACACGCAAAAAGTCTGAAGGACCCATGGCTGAAATTGAGCAAGATGGCCATTTTGGTTTGAAGCAGACAGTTTGGGCAAATTGCAGCATTATGTTGGTGTACCTAATGAAGTGCCTTTAATCTGCCATGTTTTGCAACGCATGGGTGACAACAAGGAGTAAACATGTTCACACAGGCTGTTTTCATATGATATGGTATCTTGGCGGTGATGAGATTACTCCCGGAGAACGCTGCTCGTACCTTCACACGTGTAAAATGTGTACACGTGTACCCGACAACCTACGGCCGCGCGGGCTCGTTTTTCCTCACCCACTTCCAAATGACACTTGCATGTTTCCTGCTGGATGTAATTTGTTTCATCGCAGCCGCTGTTGCATGACTGCGTACGCACCCATTTGTTTCCCCCCTCCCTTCTCATTTTCACCGCGTGGAGCCCGGGACACTGATTCCACCGATTTGCATCTTTTACCAAGAGTCTTATAATCCAGACCACCGTTATTTATTTGTTTATTTCTCCCACATTTCAACCTGTTCAGAAAATAGAGGTGAACACAAAGTTCCAACGTGCTTTAATTTTGAAAGTGATTGAAATAACAGGATACACCAATTCAAACAAGTAAAATCGGTGAGATGAACCGAAGGACAACCAAAAATGTGCAAACAGTTTTAAAGCCAACCTATTCACAGATCCGGTCTCACAAGAGATGCTGCCATCTTGCACGATTTCACCATGATGCCTTTAGTTTTCATTTGACTTTAAAGGGCACATTTTCACAGAAATCAGTTTTCAACTTTTTTTTTTCTCTCTCTCTACCTCAAGAGGTCCCACTGAACACCTCCCTTGGATGTTGAGCAAGGATGCCGTGCCTATCCATGTGGTGTCATTTCAGCATAACACTGAGGCCACGAGTTACTCACATTCGCAATCGAAAGTAAAACCTGCGCTTGCGTAAATCGGTTTGGTGGCATTCATCAGCAAAAAGTGGAACACGGCAGCTGGCGCGTTGCCTCAGCAACGCTCTGCTGCTTTAATGGGGATGCTTTCAATTAGTCTTGCCTTCAGGAGCAAGGCATGTATTTACAACCTGTCTCGAGCGCTGCTGTGCCTTGTGGCCCAACACATTAGTGATCACTTTTGATGTTGGTGACCATTTTAAACTCCTCTCCTATCCAATTGTTGCTTTTTTTTTTTTAACGATTCCCCCCACCCTTTGTTCCCTTCCTGTTGTCTTCTCTGGATAACAGGGGATATTCTGTGCGAAATTGGGTTTTTTGATATGGCTGCAAACAGCCCGACCCTGGATGACTTTGCTATCCCTCTTTTGATTTATCTCTCAAGCCTCCTTCACTTTCCACAAGCCATCAAACAGCACACACACAAAAAAATAATGTTCTGACTGCTCCTTGTTGGCAGACGTGTGGAAAAGATTGGGTCTTAGTTGTGACGTATTGAAAAAGCACACGCTGCACTCTTAACAGACACGGTTGCCTCAATTAGGCAGGATTAACACGACGGTTCTAAGCAGTCAAACCAAGTTGGTTGAAAAAGAATCTTCAAGCTGAGGAGAAGGCTAAAATCTTTCTCAGTTTAGCTCATCTGTCTATGATACCTGGTTCACAATGGGGCTCATTTGTGCCGATCCCTAATACAGTAGGTAATAAATATGAGTCCTGGAATTCACTCCAGATTTGATTTTTTTTTTTTCCTGTCATATGTGGCAATCGGGTACCTGTATGCTGAAACAAGGAAGTGAAGAGCACGCTGTCGCAGCAGCCAGGCTACGCAAAGTGCTATAGCCGACCCAAAGCTAAATGTGAAGTGTAATGGCTCTTTTTTTTTAATTTAAATTTTTTATAGCGGGTTCCAGACCATCTCTCATACTAAACACCAAACCGTTTGACCACGGTTTTCGAATGACTTGGACCAAACGTTAACGCTCAGCTTGTTCCCCATCACTGCTTAGCACCAAAATGTATGCTGCTTTGCAGGTTTGACAAGGAAGGCCACAGCATGGAAGGAAAGTCTGTGACCGAGTTGAAAGGAAGTGGCGGCATGGGAAACGCCGTGTGGAAGACCTTGGCTGATGTGAAGGCGGAGAACTTAGGACACGGAGAGAAGGTACGAGGCCTCGATGCTTCTTGAATTGACACTTGCGGCCTGCTCTTTGCGGATGTTTAAGCACACGCGCCGAGAATTTCCGAAGTCAAACGAACGCCCACGCACAGGCTGACGCGCACGCCGCAGGTGAATAGTCTCTCCTCGGTGTAACCTTGTCAAATTACAAAGGTTCTTTGCCGCCAGCAGCCCTGATGAGTCTTTACAATCAACCAACTTAGTAAATCGCAGCAAAAGCGGTTATGTATACCGAAAAGGTTCCCGATCTCGTCTTCCAGCTCATTAATCTGCTGTCTTTGCCGTGTGCCTGTTTGCTCTTGCTGAAAGTCACATTTATCTCTGCTATCGATTACATATACCCACCAACCCTCCATTCGTTGCCCTCTGTAATGAAATTACCGCCCGTGGATGAGTACAATAATATGTGCTCTTTAATTTCCTCACTGCTTGTTTGCACTGCAAAGGGAAATGGTGTTCGCAGAAGTGTATAAATCAACTGGAGCGGAAAATGACGGCTGGCTCTGAGGTATTAGCAGACAGCGTTTCACCCGATTTAGCATGCGCCCCACGTTCGGAAATCACTATGTTGACGGGGATTAAGTTAGGTAAAGAGCAGATTGTGGAGCGATAACACGGACACGCGAAGCAGGGCGCAAACATCAGTCTTGAGCTTCTCTCGTCCTTGATAACTACATTTTCAGTTGACACAGTGACAAAAATTAGAACAAAGACCTTCTGACGTAGGTGGTGATTCGTTGATGTCAAACCGCCGCAGGAGGCTTACCTGAGATCAGATTTTTTTTAAAAATATGTTTTGGGGCTTAATTTTTTTTTTTATAGCACTTTGTATGCATCGTTGGTTGTATCTAAAGCGCTCTCTGAATAGTGCGATACCTTCAAATAAGGTATTGCTACTCGCCCATCCCGAGGCAGGCACCCCAATGCATGTCTAAAGGTCCAGTTAAGTCCACAATTGCCAAAATTGTCCCCACTGTACCACATCGTGAAACTGTTGACTCCGTGTCTCGTTAATTCTTTCTTGGGCAATCCACACCGTCCCGATTCCCTGTCACTCAGGTGAAGGCCTTCCTCATGCTTCCACAGAAGAAGAGGTGTTGACCCCTGGTCGATGGAAGCTCGCGCTCTTCCAATGTGATGACAGAGCAGCTAAGCCGAGGCTATCGAGCCAAACATTATGGTCAAGGCCTCTGAAGACAGTCCTTCCCAAAAGGAAGTCCGGTGCGATGAATTGCCCCTTGTCACCAAGTGTCAGTGCCGCAAACGCCCACCTCCTGCCCCCTGTGACAGTTACCTGCCCCCTCTGGTCAGCGTCACCCTAATTGAAGAGGGATTTGCTTTATTACTGCCGCCTCTATTGAGAGGCAAAAAAAAAAATGGCATGGACTACTTCTACGCAGCGCCATCCGCCACAGCTTTGTCAGCTGTGACATGTCATACTCCAACCGCCGCCGGTTTATCTAAACAGTGACATTTCGGTTTTATGTACCCTGTTAATTAGAGTTAAATATCACTCGTCTTACAACACAATGACTAGAATATGGGAACATGATATATGGGCCTCAGCCGGGGATTTTTGCCTTTGGAACAATCCTTTGTATTGTATCCCACTGACGCGAATGCTTTGGGGGGGATACATTGGACTGGTTGTCCCTCTGACCCATGCCACAAAGCATATTTGGGCCCCAGGACGCAAGTTTGTATCATTTGGAACCAATTGTGGGGTCCCCCCTTGCCCCCCTGCTCATAACAGTTTCAATAAAATTGGCCTCATCTGAATATTTCTACTTGTTTTACCATTTGGAATCAAATACCCTTTGGATGAACTAATCACCAGCACAGTTTTCAGCTCCAGCAACAGTGTGACGTCTCGCCTCCAAAAAGCTCCTCCGATTAAATGGATCGGTGTACAACAATCACTTAATTGGTTGTATCCGTAGGAAAGGTGCCTCCCACTTTTCAATTCTTAATTTCTGCACCTCCGCTCGTTTTCGTATTCATCTCTTTACGAATGTGAAATCCATTTCCCCTGCTCTGGGTATTTTCCATGCCGACAAGGGACGTCTCCGAAAAGCTATTTATGTGCAGCCGGTGTCTCGGGCTTGCGAAGGCAGCGAGTGCTCATTTGCATCGGTGCTATAAGGATTCTGCTGCACCAACGCTGCACACTGTGCGGTAAAAAAAAAAAAAAAAAAGACCAAAACAAAACTTGAAAATCGTTCTCGTGTGTCTTTTGTGCTCTTCTTCATGCTTGGAGCGTAGAAAGGTAATGAAAGAGTTTAAGCTAAGTACACATCGAATTTTAACATTTGCTCTATTCTTTTTTTTTTTCTTTTTTTTTTTTAAGTGGATGCGATTTTTCGAATGTAACACTATTTTTGAGCTCTCTGATAATCAGACCTTTTCTGACTTAAAATAAATGGCAGGGGCGATACTTAAATCCAAATGCGTGCAGCCCACATTTAAAGGCATTCATGGGTTTTCTTTTTGCCCATTTTTTTGTTTGTTTTTAGGCCGACTATTACACATGCATCGGCACCATTGTGTACATGCGTCAAGATAACTGCCTCTACCGGGCGTGCCCAACTCCAGACTGCAACAAGAAGGTGGTGGACCAGTATAACGGGATGTACCGCTGCGAGAAGTGCGACAAAGAATTCCCCAACTTCAAGTACCGCCTTATCCTATCAGTGAGTGACTCAGCACTGTGCTCCCTCAGGCCAGAGACACAGTGATGTGCATGCATTTTTTTATTTTTTTGTTTGGATGATAGATTATGCACTAAAAAAAAAAATCCACGTCGACATGGAGATAAATGGGAGTTGTTTTAAAAAAATGCTGTTCAGGGAAAATGCCCCCATGTGGATTGAGATAAAAAGTCCCTGCCACAGAAATGCTGATATAAGCAAATGTTTGTCCTTAACACAAGATGTCACTTTCACCGTCTTTCTTCTTCTGTGGTATCAAGCCACCATCTCCTCTTTCCTTCATTGTTGTTCGAGTCACAGATGAGATCTGCGCTCTACTCTATTATTCGTTTTTGGTTGATATGTGTGAAATTGATTTCCCATGTTTTGATGCTCTGGAGGCAAAATGAGGTGCACTACGTGGGTCCAAGCACATTGGGATGCTGTGGATTGCAAATATTCTTTTTGGCATTATTTGGCACGTTCAAATGACAGTGTTACTAGCCTATTGGCAACCTCGCCTCACCTTTTTGCTGTTTATGTGCCCTGTCTAAGATTAGAGCACAAACATTGTGGATTTATTTATTTATTTTAAAGGATGATGCCCATTCCAACATTTGGCGGAATTAAATCAGGTAACTGATTAATTGGCAGATTAATTTCAAAAGAATATAACTAATATAACTTTTTGGGGGTCAGGCAGAACATTTGACAGATTTGCAATATTTTGTCCTTGGGTATTTTTTAACTTCATAGCTGAGAGGAATGTCAACATTAATAAAAAAAAAAACATGCAATAAAGTATGAACTGGTGCATTTATCTTGAGATTTAGGCCAGAGATGTATGCTTTATATCAGCAAGATAATGACTGATGCTACTGTCAAAATAATATTTATGCAGCCCTCTGATGCCCTTAAACATTAAATCACATTTCTTCCTTTCCATTATTTTCTTCGCCGGTAAGTGATGACTTACATCAGGGATGGGCAACTTAAATAATAGATGATGCCACAATTTTTCATCAGCGCGACTCGGGTGGGGCCACATAGGATAACACACCTCCTCAGCAGATGTCTGACAAAAACAAACAAAAAAAAAACAATTTAAAAATGGACGAAATATGTGCATGTCTGTTTACATTGAACCAATGTATATATTTTTGTCATCTTAAATTTCATGCTCAGTGCATGTATAAAATTTCCATGCTTTAACAAAAAAGGGTTCGAAAAGTCAACAAAAATACCCTTTAATTTACTCTACGAGGAGCGCACAACACTGCTGAACAGCAAACCACTGTTAAATGCAGTAACACTTTTTTTTTTTTTTTTTTTTTGCTTTTCATTTCAAAATCTGTTCACTTGAAAGTTATTATTCAGGTACTGTTTGTCCTTCATGTCATTCCAAAACCGCCGAGCGTTAAACCTACTCACATTGTAATATACGGCAGTATAATCTTGGACCAGCGCAACTCGGCCATGTCTGCCATCTAGTGCTTCATGTTGATACTACAACTACACTTAATGAGTTTCAAAGGAAGTATTTTGCAACGAAAGTGAGGTGCTTCATTTAGGCAGGCCATGTCTAATTGAATAGGCCTTTGCCACTGTATTATGGCACCTGCAGGCAGTTTTTAGTGTGTCAATTACTCAGATTTTCGCTTTTCGCGGCAGTTTCATTACCAGAATTAAAACGGACCTCCCGAGTCTTACTCTTTGTGTCACTTTTTGTGTTTGCCAGGCCAACATTTCAGATTACACCAACAACCAGTGGGTGACTTGCTTCCAGGAGACCGCCGAGGCCATTTTGGGCCAAAACGCAGCTTATCTGGGACAGCTGAAGGAGTCGGTAAGACGCTTTTTTGAGCTTTATTCCGGTGCCTCAAGTTTCATCTGTTGGAAAAAGAGTGTGTTTGTTTTCAGAATGAAGCAGCGTTTGACGAGGTCTTCCAGAAAGCCAACTTCAGCACGTTTGTGTTTCGCAACAGAGTGAAGCTAGAAACGTACAATGTAAGTACGGCAGGTTCTGGTGATGTGTATCAACTGCTTGGCTCCTATTGCAGGACTCTTGATGATGTAATTCTTGGTAAACGGACTTAAAGAACAGAGGGGGCCTGTGCGGCCCGCGGGCCATACTTTGCCTAACCCTGTTTTTAAGTGTGTACAAAGACCGCGAACATGTTGGCTTTCCATTCACGAGCATATCGACCCCACTCTCCTTTGGCCTGCCAAAGCTGCTCATTTCCCAGCGCTTTTAGAAAGAGACACGCGCAGCTTTGTCGCAGTCACACAGATCGAGTTTTGTTTTGCGGCGCATAAAAGAATTGATTGGGCTGGGCCTCTGAGCAGGAAGTCTGGAGCGCAGCCAGCGACCAGCATCCTCCTGCGTCGCACACGCCGCCAAAACTTTACTCGGTTCTTCAGTAGAGACACCTGCAAAAGCGCCTCCTTTTCATGACTGCGGGCCAGCCGTTGTGTCGTCATCAGCTTCAGTTGAGAGGATGGCTGGCCAAACTGTTTCTTCCAATAGAGAAAAATCAAGGGGATGCGAGAGCCACTTTGACGTTCTTCACATTGAATTGACAGTATTTGAAACACTTTATGTAATCCGTCGGTATTGGTTACAACACTTGCGGACGCAGGATACAACAATAATCACACGCATACATTCTTTGTCCGCTACGAAAAACGACTACTATTGCGGCTTTCTTGCAAGGCTCTCATCATATCAGTGTAGTACCGCTTCCCCCTTGTGGCCAAGGCAAGCACAGCAGAATGAACAACACAATGCCGCTTGCATAATACACAAAAGTATGAAATTCTCTGCATTCTTTTTTAAGTGTGTTATTCAAAGTACAATGTAGAGTGTGATTTTTCATATTCGAGCACAGTCCCCCTACTTTTTCGAGACCCTGCTTAAAAAAACTATCACAAACAAAAAAATGGACGCCGAGCGATTGGCACATGGGCGATAGTTTGGTAGTTCGAGTACAGTCCCGAGCAACCTTTGCTTGTTTTATAGCTGCCCTTTTGAGACCAGCGTACCGTCATCATAACACCATTAAGGCACGAATATGCTTTCTCGGCATATCTGAAGGTCGTTTGATTCTTATAGCCGTAAAGAGAAAAGTCTCCACGCAGTCAGTAATTAGAAATAAATTCCAATGTAGCAAAAGTACTGTTGGGAAAACATTCTCGCCAACAAGCGGTACCCTGACTTCACTGACAAATGTATGTAATTAAGATGTCTTTAGATTGGATTTGGGTCTCTTTCAAATGGCGATAAAACATCTGACACATATCTGATATCTGCCCATGTGAAATCAACAAACGCAATTTATAACTTGACAGTTTTTAAACAATCGCGTCTGCACTAACAACAAATACATGCATATTTAAAAAGAGTGAAAGAAAAAGATTGTCTAAATATGCTCGAAAAACTTTTTTTTTTTTTTTTTTTTTACATCCATCTTGTTGGACTTGTCATCTTTTAGGCCTGATAAACTATCACACTGCCATTTTTGCATTCATGTCATCTACATGCTGCGTCCTCTTGCATCATAATAAGCGAGCAGCAGTGCGGCACACTCGTTCTTGAACGAGGGCACCAGACTGAAGGCGAGCTTGTTTTTTTTTTTTTTTTAAAGTGGTGAGGGGGAGAATGTAGACAAAACGAGCACGACCTGTGTGCTTGGGGGCGGGGATAATGGCTGACCTTCGCTGTCTCGATGGCTGAGGGGCCGCTCTTGAAGTGGACGAATAGGATGTTCCATTATCGGTCCCACACTGTATTTGAATCGTTGTTACATAAGGATGCATTTTCAGTCACCGAGCGATTTGGTTCACAAAAGGATGAACATCTTTTTAAGGTTGTTGCAAGCACTGGATGTGGAGGCAGGATGCTGATAACGATAACCGCATAGAAAGGAACAATTGAAATACCACTAATGGATTCCAGCAAAAAAAAAAAAAAAGTGCGTTTTTAACAAAGAAAAAAAGCATTGCATTGTAAAATATACAAAGGTACACCATGGGCTGGTCGCCATCCAATCACATCTCGAAAAACAAAATTCGCTCACAGAAAATTTTCAGCTGGCAATGGCCCAAAAGTACATTTTCGTCCGAATGTGTTTTGTCACCGAAACAGCCCGGCTGAAACATCATCATGCTATGACTTCAAATTTTGCTCACATCTCGAGATGATTAAATTTGGCCAGGTAACCACTTGTATCCCAACAAACTTGGTCAGTCAAGGCAAAGTTGATGTACGTATCGTCAGCACCCTAAAAAAAAAAAAAAAAAAGCCAGGCCTTTTTATTTTTTTTTTGCCTTTGTTGTTCTTCAGAAAGACTGAGCCACATTCTGATTATATGCATGAATAATTTCGGTTTCAAAAAGATTGCCAAAAAATGACTTTAGGCTATTATTTTAAGAGGCTGACAATATTTCAATGTCGTCTGCTAGGACGAGTCCAGAATCAAGGCGACGGTGATGGAGGTGAAGCCCGTGGACCACCAAGAGTACAGCAGAAGGTTGATCATGAACATCAGGAAAATGGACGCCAAGTAAAAAAAAAAAAACCCTCAAGAAGCATCTTAAAAATATGTTTTGCGCATTGAGAAAGTGTGTGGGCAGTTCCTGTGGTTTTTGATGGGGGGGGTTTCCCGTGCTTTATTTTTCTTCATGTTCTTGAGAGTAATCCTCTTGGCCCCGAAACAGAGTGACTGTTTGGCCTGTCTTGTTTAAACATTTTCTCGTTCTGTAAGCACGGTCACGCCAGCACAAGCAAAACAGTGCCGCGTGTCTTAAGTTGGTTGTCTCTTGCCGGCAAAAGCGTTCACGGCAGGAGAACCCCCACCCCCACCCCAAGCCCCGCTTTTCACAAGCTGCAAGTGGCTGTGCTTGCCCTGATAAGTCTTGTTTATTCTCAGAGTTCGTTTTCTGACTTGCAAGCACAGCGCGCTAAGGAGATCATCTTCGATTGAAAAGAGGTTGCGTTGTTTCTGTAAGATGCTTCTGCATTTGACTTGTTTTTCCTGTAGTTGTCGAATCAAGTCACCGGGTTTGTTGTTCATTTACTTGTTTTGTGTGATGTTGTTAAAATGAGAAGCTGTTCCAGCAATAATAATAAAAAAGAAATACTACTTTCTTTTGGACTAAGTATGCCTTTCTTTGTGATGTATCGTAAATGGTCGGGGCTGTTTTCTTTGGCATATGTTGTAATGTGTTAAAAAAAAAAAGCGACTGATTCAAATGAATAAAAGCTCATGGCAGCAGATTAAATTGGCCGTTTGATTAACCGGTCGGGCCCTAGACTACATAGTGGGCCACTAAAAGTTGTCCGGTGGGCCCATGGGCTGGACACCTCACCAAGAATAGTAACAAGTCAAATATTGATCCCGACTACTCCAATAAAAGCTCCCCACTGTGCTGTCCTCTTTAGAAATGACACGGCCACAGTGTACAAGTGCTGAGTTATTGTTCTGAAAGAGTGTCAAGCTGTGACCTTGCCAGCTCTGCAGCTTGTTCAGCAGGCCTTTTGTCTTAGGACCAATGCGTCCCGCGGCGGTGCGGAGCGAAACCCGGCCGGACATGGACCCAAGCTTTTGTTTTGGAGACTGGTAGCTTGAGTAGCGAGTGTAATTCCTGCTCGAATCAAGCTTGTAACTCAGTTTACTCATTCAGTCCCTCACGAGGGTTGTATTCCAAACCACTCCCACGATACGTGAAAACCGCAAAAAAGAAATAACCTTTAGAAATATTCTCAAGCCATGTTTTTGTAACGTGTCTGGATTTAAAACGCACTGTATTTGATTATCAAAATACAATCAAAGAGAGTGTAAGGAATGAACTGGTTTTATAAAACGAAACTACATAGGTTTTTTTCTGACGAAAAAAATTTTTATTTATTTTTACCAATTTATTTACCAAAATAAAGTTTGGACTCTTCTTTCAGCAGAAAAAAAAAATGTTTCAATCTTTTTCCATTCTTCAGCAATCAGCATTACGAAATGGGTAAGTTTCGTGAAAATGGCGATTCCTGGGCAAAAAACGGAGAAAAAGAGCTTTTAGTAAAAGCATGTATTTCAAGCATGTGAGGCACCACTGCCACCTACTGGTCGCTTTTTTTACATGATTTACAATGCAAACGGCTTATTCTCATTCACAGATTGCATCAGACCCTCCTCTCTATGACACAAAACAAAAAAGACTTAGACGTACAAGTACGTCCTTGGTAGGCGGGGCCTAATTTTAAAAAGACGTGCAAGTACGTCTTGTGGAATGAAAGACTTTAAGGGATTGATTATTTATTTGAACATCAAGATTAAATGCACAATCTGATTTTTTGGGGGAATGCACGCGCGTGTGTGTGTGTGTGTGTGTGTGTGTGTGTGTGTGTGTGTGTGTGCATTCTGATCCACGTGTGAGATCTAATGAGAGTCTTGAGTGTAATTTCCATATGACTGATTGATGCGGGATGTCCTGTGGCCATTTTATTTCGGAGAAAACCAGTTTCAGCACCACCGGGGCTGCCTTGAATGGCGCCAGTGGAATAATTTTCATATCCTCATTACATTGAAGAAGGGGAAAGAAATAAATATAAAAGAGGACACATCAAAGCTTCGGCATCACCCGGGCAGAAATTACTATTCTGAGTATGGCGTCCAATATGAAAATAACTTTGAAGTTTCGTGTTGGTCTTTTGTAAGGCCCCTCAAAGGCTGCGGCGGGAACATCAGGTTGTCATTGTGCGGGCGCAGGTGACCTTATCTACATCAGGGGTGGCTTTAATTGGATGGGTCTGTGCAAAGGCTTCTCTTCAGTGACGCATCATCTTCTTCGGGTTCACACTCATGTCAAAACAATGTGATTAGGCTGCGGCGTATGACAACTTGACAGTTTTATTATGTACGCTGCAGTAAAAAGATGGCACTTTTGCAACAAAAGCCTCCAGTCTACATCTCGTTTGAGTGAAGGATGTCCTGTTTTCACTGCTTGATGTGGCTCTACTCACTCGCATTATTGAATGTTTATCAGTGTTTTGGGGTTCAACCCCGCCGAATGCATTTGAATGGGGGCCAATATACATGGATTTGCTCTTTGCGAGCTAGCCCAGTCTCTATCCCCGGGGGTCGAATCTACTTCTATTTATCCATCCATCCATTATCTGATCCGCTTATCCTCACGAGGGTCGCGGGCGTGCCGCAGCCGATCTCAGCTCTCTTTGCGAAGTAGGCGGGATACATCCTGAAGTGGTTGCCAGCCGATTGCAGGGCACTCATAGACAAACAACCGTTTGCGCTCACAATCACACCCGGGGACAATTGAGAGTCTTCCAACAACCTCTCATGCATGTATTTGGAATGTGGGAGGTACCCGGAGTACCCGGAGAAAACCCACGCAAAAGCATGTTCAAGCACAGGAAGACTGGGGCTGGAATCGAATCCCGGACTTCTGCACGGTGAGGCGTGCGTGCTAACCCGTCAATCACGATGCCACCTTTTCCAATCGTGCGTGTGTGTTTTTGTCTTTCCATTTGCCCTCCTGGTTGTCCATCCTCCTTTGCAACTCCATCCACCTGACTTCCCAGAGAGGTGTGGCCAAACTATTTTGGTTGGTTCCACAAACAGACCTATTTTAAGATCCCCCATGATTGTATTTCCCTCAAGAATTTAGGATTTACGGCTTCAACTACCTTCAATTATTTTAAGCATCGATTAATCTGTAAGGGCGGCTCGGTGGTCGACCGGTTAGCACGTCCGCCTCACATTTTTGGTGACACTTGCTCAACAACTCGGCCCTTGTCTGTGACCGGGGCATACTTTTGGCCAGGGTTGCTAGATTTGGTAGCACGTCCGACACAAAGAGTCGAACAATTTTAACTCTTCAATGATCAACTGAAATTATCAAAAAACATGAAAATCGATTAGTTGTTGATGAATCGTTGCAGCTCGATTCACACTTTTTTGTTTTATGGCTGCCGGTTGCATCACGCCTATCCGCTGCACTTACAAGCCTCAACTGCCATGCGTCTTTCTCCCTTCTCACAACACAGTTTTGAAATGTATCAGATTCATATTTAGCTTTTAGGCTTTGACAGCACTACCCTGTGTTAGCAGTGTTGAATTGGAGACTGCACGTTATCTGTTAAGTGCACGAGATGTCCAAGAGCTTTCATTTCTCGCATGTTTTCTCCAATTTATGCCAAAAGTGTTCTGGGTTTGGAAAACAACATTTGCGTGCCGTCCCGCTGTTCACCCAGGCTTAGCGATTATATCACCATGTAAAGTAGGCCCGGCTCGCCGGGGAGCAAGACCCCGCCGCCCACCCTCCTTTAAGGGAGGCCATAGCCTTGGGCCCTTGCTATAAAACATCTCAGTCGTTGAGCCCCCTCCGCGCTCTGATTGATGCACCGTGGCGACACAGTCGTTTTCCTTGCCGCAGTAACACTGTGTCACATTTAGACAGTGTTTCCTTCCACCTCTCATCAAACCACAGAGCTCCTGGCTTCTTAACTTACTGTCAAAAAAGAAGGGAGGCGGGATTGGGGGTTAATGGCTGCAGGACCTGGCAGAGCGTCTGCACTGACAGCATTGCACCCCTTCCTGGCGCAGATGTTAGTTTGACATCTCTCCGCTGATTCTTGAACACCAGACTGCATGGAAAGGTCGGTGGTGTGAATTGCTGCTGAGCTGAATTAATGTAGTTCATTAAAAAAATAAAATAAAATTCTTTCCATTCCATTTCATTCCAGTTCAGTCATGATCCTATTTTTGTGTGTCTCCAGCAGGTGGCAGTGGAGGGCCTTCCCTCCAGCGTGCACACCTGCTGCCAATTTGGTCATCAAGTTGGCCAAGTATTTAAGGACTGTCAAGATTTCATCTCTGTGTGGGATTATTAACGCATGTGTGAGTGTTGTTTTCCCGACCTCTTCATTCTCATTTTTACTCTCGTCTCTCGCTTGTAAGTATTATTTTGTGTTTTGATTTTGCTCTTGTTTTTGTTTCGTGTCATTCGACTGTAGTCATTTCGTTTATACTCTCGGATGAACTATTTCTTGCCTTTGCAAGTGCTTTTTGTTCATGTTGACCAGCTATTTTGTTATTAAATAAATATTTTTCTTTGGATTTTGTTTGTGTCTGATTGTGGGGACCGATCACCATTCTGTTCCTTCCCGAACTGTGTCAAGTTTTTCAAATGGTGACTGCAATTCCTTGAATGTGTTTCAACAGACACAGCCTGCTTTGAGAATGAGAGGTTGTGAATCCTTAAAAACCGAAATCCAGTAATTGGGCCACTGTGCAAAACATCAAAACAGAATGACTTGCAAATCCCTTCCCAAGCTACATTCAGATGGATGCTAAGCCCAAAACGGATCAAATATTCACATTCATTAGTAACTTTCTGGGTTCGTCAATACTCACTAAAATAGACTGTTGATATACTGTAGCCAGTTAAAAATCAGATGCAAATGACTTGAGATCTTTTTCCAGACCAAACACGTCATTGAGTACCAATACTTGATGGAGCTGGTGCGTTTCTGATGCAAATATATTCCATTTTAACCAAATATTGGAACATTTTCTCCCCAAATATAACTTCTTTTACAACTGCAATAATTCTCGGTTTCCTAGGGGGCAATGTGGTGCACGCATCCAAATGTAGATTTGATGAAGAGACACATCACATCGCGGCAAAATCACAGTCATAAAGCCTATTTTTGACAGAGTACATAGAATAATTGCCTAAAAGTATTGCCAATAATCTTCCCCTGTCTGATATGCCGTTTGCGTTTGAATAGTTGTCATTCAAAGGTTTAGATTAAAACATCAGTTTTACATCTGTTCGTTAGCTCGTCATTAGCATTTCGCATGATGCGTTGGCGTTAAGCTAGCGGGCGCGTGTGAGACAAAGCTGTGTGTTTATTTGCTTCAATATGCAACGTGCAATTTTCTTTGTTTTGTTAGTTCTGCTGCAAACTTCAACTGGGATTGTCAATAAATAACTGGAACCACGCACATGATTCCTAAACCTTCAAAAAAAAGTGTTTGCTCACTGCCAAACTGCAAACCGCACGCTTGCTCGTATAGTATTGACACCGAGACTGGTATCAGTATGTGCATCCTTCTTTCAAGCATGTCTGTTTTGTCTTTATGGCA